GACTTCGGCCTTAACCCTCTCTTTGGCACCTTAACGCCACCCAATCGGATTGCTGGTTACCGCGCGCCGGAGGTTGTCGAAACCCGTAAGGTCACGTTCAAGTCCGACGTGTACAGTTTTGGCGTTTTGCTGTTGGAGCTTCTCACCGGGAAATCGCCAAATCAATCGTCGTTGGGCGAAGAAGGGATTGATCTTCCGCGGTGGGTCCAGTCGGTGGTTCGAGAGGAATGGACGGCGGAAGTTTTTGATGTGGAATTGATGAGACACCACAATATCGAAGAAGAGATGGTTCAGCTTTTACAAATTGCCATGTCCTGCGTCGCCGCCATGCCGGACCAGCGCCCGTCGATGCAGGAAGTGGTTCGTATGATTGAGGATCTAAACCGCGTTGAGACCGACGATGGCTTACGCCAGTCATCCGATGACCCATCTAAAGGGTCGGAGGGCCACACGCCGCCGTCGGAGTCCAGAACCACCCCTCCCGGAGCCGGTGTACCACCGTAGAAATTACCTTTACGTCCTCTTCTCAAAGCCGTAAATCAGTGCATGGTTCGTAAATAAGCGGTTAAAGTGCGCGGGGCAAAATGGGTCGTCGGCGGAGGTGGCAAGGCAATGCTCTGTTCTGGGTAATTTTGGAATTTCCTGTCAGTTAATTTGGATATTTATTGGGTGATTGAATTGACCATATATGATTAATTCTCACACTTTTCTAGCTTTTAATATTTATTATTTATTATTAAAAAATGTATTTCGTACTGTATTGACAGAAAATCATAGATTTTGTGAAATTTTTCTTTGTCTTATAATTGTTGTCGTAGCTTATATTCCTCTTTAATTGCGTGTGAAGCCCTTGGATATTTTTTTAATTGCACCTTTAATTATTAAAATCTCATAACCAACAACTATTTACATCACCATTACCCAAAATTATTGCTTTTTTACACTTTTCTCCTAAATTTTATGATTATAATAGTATTTATTGGTATAATATATAACATAACTAATTTAGTGAATAATACTCGAGGATATCCAATCAGAAGGCGACATGTGTGGATGAGTTGGCAAGTTGTCGTATGCGTGGAGCTGTGGTGGCGTAACCAACGAGGCATGTGCCTTTATTCAGTTAAGAATTTTGAGATAGGCACCGAAAATGGGAAGCTTTGGAGAGAATTATGGTCAGACGCCAATTTGACTTTTTTCACTGATTAATTAAAATTAAAATTAAAAATAACTTTTCTACTTACTCTATGGTATGGTATTGTGGGGATATAATCTCAGATCTTGTTTTAAGTAATCTTGATGATGTCAGAAGGCTGCCTCAATCCCAGCCGTTCGATTAATATAACCCATTACTTTTCATTTTTATTTAATTATTTCCCTTTTAGAATCAAGATTTGGTCCATACGCTATACACCCATTAACAATAATTTGAATAAGTCGAGTCACCCAAAATTAAAAATAGAAAATTAGAGGGGAAAAAGTTAAGAAAATGAATAAAAGGTGAGAATATTGGAAACTAATGAAACAAGGTAAACAACCACCAACAACTAGTCGGTGGGAATTTGATTTATGGAATTGTAACCACTGATTCACGCGACTCAACTAGATATTATTCTTTTTAGATTTTTCTTCCAAAAGTTTTTCCTCAAACTTTTACCATGCATTTAATAAGAAGAGGTTTCTTTAAAGGAGGTTTGCACACCGTTGTAAGGGGTGTTGTAAGGAATGTTAAGGAATGTTTTGTCTTTTCTCCGATCGACGTGGGATCTAACAATCCACCCTGTTGAGGGCCAGCGTCCTTGCTGGCACACCGCTTCGTAACTGATTTTGATACCCTTGTAACAGTCCAAGACCATTGCTAGCAAATATTGTCCGCTTTAGTCCGTTACGTATTGTCGTCAGCCTCACGATTTTAAAACACGTCTTAAAATCCTGAGAGGAAGCCATTGAACGAAAAGTCCAAAGAGGACAATATCTGTTAGCAGTGAGTTTGAACTATTACAAATATTATCAAAGCTAGTTACCGGACCGTGTGCAAGTAAAGACATTGGGACCCTAAAGGAATGGACGGTGAGATCTTACATCAGTTGGAAGGGAAACAAAGTATTCCAGATAAGAGTATGAAAATCTCTCCCTAGTAGACGTATTTTAAAAACCTCGAGGGGAAGCCTTTGAAACGTTTTGTGCACAGTTGCTTTTAACTTTATGCAATGAAATCAATGGCAGTGTGGATGCAGCAAGGATGAAAGACATACCGAGGGAAGCAAGGAATGTCTTTCTCTAAAGCAGCACGGTCTTCCAGTCTCTGCTGTCGTCAAACAAAAGGCGTGGATATTGGATAATGATAACAACTCCTTGATTGCCCACTGCACAAAATGTAAAAAAAAAAAAACAATAACTCGTTTCTTCATCATCATTTCACTTTGCTTGGATTGTACGAATCAATCATCAAAACAAGAGAAAAGGGTAAGTTTTTGTTTGGTCTTTACTCATCATCACAGCATTGGATGCTTCATTACAAGACTATCAAGAATGTATGTATGTATGTATTTAATGATATCAATCCAAAACAGGTAAACAAACACAGATTCCAGGACCACATCTTCAGATTCATGTAATAAATTACAAGTAACGAAAACAAATATATTACAACAAAGCTAAGAAGCATCTCTGTGTTCATGCTCATCATAAAGATTTCTAAATTTCCATGTACACAAAAGCAGGGAGACAGAAGGAAAAAGAAAAGGGCATTTGGAATGGTTGAAAAGGGAACAAGAAAATGAGAAGTAAATAACAGATGTTCACAAGTACTAACCTGACAGAAGCAACAATATTGATGTTTTGTACTGATATCATTTTCATGGTACCACTTCCAGTTCATTGTCTTGTGATGTAACAATGAACTGCTATTCCATGTGGCAGAGATGCTCTTGTTATGCGAGCTAATACTCAAGCTGTTGGGTTTAATACCACCTTCTTCCATTCTGAGCGAGTCCAAGTAGTTGAATTAGGACATCAACCAAGAGACTGCATCTCCAAGAACATGGATTTATCCTGATAGAACAATTTTAATGTTTCACCACTCTGTCCCTGCTCTGCATGGGCAGCCAACAGAGTATTCCACGTTATAAGATCTCTCTTTATAGTTGAGTTGAAAACTCGTCTTACACATTCCGACGTTCACATTTGGCACAAATATCTATTTGTTATGAACCACATGCCTCCACAATGGTACAATATTATCCACTTTGAGTATAAACTCTTGTGACTTTGCTTTTGATTTTTCCAAAAAGCCTCGTACCAATGGAGATGGTGTTTCTTACTTATCAACCTCATCTTAATCAGCCAATGTGACTACTCCTCTCAATAATCCAACGTGATTATGCTACTTGCAACAGCACGATCAGATTCAAGGTTGTTTCTAACACAAAAAGAATGCCCTTGTTTACCCTGATTGATCACACTTATACTAGCCGAAGCTGAAAGAAAACTTGATAGTCACCTTGAGTAGGTTCAGCAACTTGATAAAACATCTTGATCGCTTCCGCATTAAGTCCACTCCGAGTAACATTAACAATCATCGAAGTCCAAGCTACTATATCCCTCTCGGGAATTTTATCAAACACCTTTGCATCTCCGCATCACACACATTTGCCAGCAATATCGATACGCCCGCCTCGACCCATCTTGATTGCACAGCCATGTACTGCTTTTCCTAATGGAATCCACTGCAGAACACCAGAAACCTTCAAGGAAATTGGAATAACAAAATTGTCCACAACAAGCTCAATTTCGTGCATCTCACAAGAACACACCCAAGCTTCTTCATGGAAGCCGATTCTAATTTCTATTCCCAATTTGGTCTGATCGTTGAATTCTGAGTAGAAGACCACCGATTTGGTCTCGACGTACTCATTCTTTGCAATGAACTCTCTCGTAAACGCAGCGCTGAAAGAGTTTTCCGTGTACATCAGGTCTAATTGAGATATTTCATAATTCCATATCAGCAACTCCACAGCTTCTCGTAGTTCGCCATCTTTGCAGAGAGAAGATATCCGGTTCAAATCAGATTTACAAGAGATTTGAACGTTTCCAGCAATTCCATCCATTTGAACTTCGCGAAATGGGTCGGCGAGTTCTGGTTTTGTCTGGTACCGTAGAGAAAAGCGAGGGAATTAGTGGGAGCGGCAAAAGAAAGAGCAGCCATGCACGGAGGAGAAGAAGCGGAAGACGAAGCAGAAATCAAAGTAATGCCTAACGTGTCGCTTTTTTAGTGGGCAACCGCTTTTCCGAACCAAAAATATTAACAGATTGGGTAACAGCGTCAGCTCAAACCTCTCCGTCTAAATTATTTTAATTACAAAAAATAAGATGCTATAACGAATTAAAAAAATTAAAATTAATTTTAGTATTAAATGTCTAAATGAGGAGGAGTCTAGCCTTAGCCTACACTGATCAAGGGGTTTATTATGACTTTACACGTAACGAATACATCTACATTCGTGTAGTCAAAAGCAAAGTCACAAGAGATCATGCTCAAAATTGTGAGCTTCGAAGGTGTAGTCAAAAGTAACTAAGGTGTTGAACAAATAATGTATTTTGTTCGAGGGCTCCAAAGGAAGAGTCGAGTCTCAATTAAGAAGAGACTGTTTGAGAGATCCATAAGCCTCAAGGCAGGCTCTATGGTGTACTTTGTTAGAGGGAAGGATTGTTGGAAGACGAGTCCCACATCGCTAATTTAAGAGTTGATTGTGAGTTTATAAGTAAGGAATACATCTTCATTGGTATGATGCCTATTGGAAAAATCATGAGCTTAAATTGAATAATATCATACCATAGTAGAGGTTCGTTATTCATAATAAGATTATGTAAATTCAAAACACGAGACCACTTATCTTCCACCTATCTTGAGCAGTGGTTCAAATATCAGCTCACATTCAACCAAACAAACTATAAAGTACAAATAATTAGCCGAATCTCAAGAAAGTGATTATACAACATTGAAGCTTCAAAGCTAAATTTCCTCACTTTCATGGAATGGGAACACAGGAAGAACAGGAAGAACAGGAAGGCAAAAGGCAAACATGTGTTGTATCATCTTTTCTGAAAGTTAAAGTGCTTGGTTGCGTAAACAAACACCAAGACCATGAGCAAAGTGAAGACCAAAAGAGCAACTGAAACCACCCACAGAAAGTCATATTTATACCCATAATATTCCTCAATAAACTCAGCCACCGTCTCTCCTGTGTCAAGCTTAGTTTGTATATCTGCAAATTGGGAAGTTACCGTTCCATACAAACTCCAAGAAACTGGGCAAATCCAAGCATACCATCTCCACCACACAGAAATTCTCTGCACTCAACCAGCAAGGTCTCTCAGTTCAATCTTAGTGGGAATCATGAATAAGAAAACGGTGATAACGGTAATGAGCAATTTACCGTTCGAGGGATAACGAAACCGGTGAAAAGGTTCCAGACTGAGTAGGAGAACCCAGTAAGCATAGAAGCAGTTGCTTGATTAGGACTCACGGCTACCACCACCATACCATAGTATATGAAGTATAGAATTGTAATGAACATGAAGAAGTAGTTGAGGAGAAACTTGCTGGCTGTCCATTCATATCCCATCATTGCATACACTATAACCGCATATAAAGCTACCTGAACCAGCGTGTATGGGAATTCAATTGCAACCTGACATAACAATATACAAGGCAAGACATGTCACATTAGTGCAGATCTCCAACCAAATTCATACAAACTTCACGACCAAAAACCTTATTTATGCTGATATTTGTCAATCAATGGACTCTGCTTCCATAACTATCAAAATTGAAGTGTAAGGAATACCTGAGCAAATGCATGAGGCAAAGCAGAATACATTCCAGCAGCCCGCTCCCTGTAGTAAACGGTTCGCTCAGTTATGAGCACAGGTTGCACTGTAAGTGAGCCTTGGGTCCCCATGAAGTTAATTGCAATGTACATAGCACCTACGCTATTGAAAATTTCTTGCTTCGTGCTCCTGAGTTATGAAGAACATATATTTATATTCAGAAATCTAAGCACTGAATGTAGCATGGTTTTGTGTATGTACCTCTTGCTGCCGAGCCTCAAGAAAACAGCTCCAAACAAAAGGCCCATTGAAGCACTAAACAGCATCCTGACGGCATTGTATGAGGTGTTCCTGAAAAATGATTTGTGCTGCTTCCATAGGCAGGCTTTGAACTGAGTCAGGTAGGAACGTGGGTACTTGGAGGGAAAATGAAGAGCTTGAGCATCTGGAGGAGGTGCACTCAACTCTCTAATCAGAGCTTCATTTTGTCTGTATTAATATTAGCTAAAGATTATCATCTACAGCAGTTAAAGATGCAATAGTTCTTCGGTTGAATAAATTAGTCGACTGACCGAAAAAGATCGGATTTCTTGTATACATCGGCGAATTTGATGCCTAGAGCCTCTTCTTTTGCTGCTGTTGTCATATCCAAAACCCATGTTGCTGGATTATATCCATCCCTTATGCTATCAACTCCAGGGATGTCCTTTAACACCACAGAGAAACAGAGAAAAACACTCCAAATTATATATTACATGAGGAAAATAAAGTTATGATTATGGTTTGTGCCTACCTCAAAATACTTGATTAAATAGCAAGACCGTTGCCCCAAAGGACCCACATATATTTCTTCACCTCCTCTTGTCAATAAAAAGAGCTGTCCATAGAAATTGGAGATATATTAAATTTCATTTGAGCATTGAACAATTAAGATGTTTGTTTTATTGTGGCAATTTAGTCTTACTGGTACCTCATCAAATGACTCAAATATATCAATACTTGGCTGGTGAATTGTGCATACTACTGTTCTTCCTGTATCAACTGTATTTCTCACAGCTCTCATTACAATGGCTGCTGCTCGAGCGTCTAGACCCGAGGTTGGCTCATCCAGGAATATTATTGAAGGGTTAGCAACAAGCTCAACAGCAATGGTTAACCTTTTGCGCTGCTCGATGGACAATCCATTCACATGTGGAAATCCAACCAATGAATCCCTTAATGGTGTTAATTCAATCAGCTCTATGATTTCTTCAACAAAAAGCTGCACGAGTTTTGGAAAATAAGGTCGTTCAGAGAAAGGTGTTACTACCTACTACCATTCAGAATCAGATTGTTACCACAAACCTCTAAAGTCTTTGAATCAACTTCTGAAGGCAACCTAAGCCATGCTGAAAATATGAGGGACTCGTACACGGTAAGATAGGGTGAATGAATGTCATTTTGTTCACAGTATCCGGAAATTTGAGCAAAAGTTTCCTGTTTTTTAGGAAAGCCTGATATTCTGATGCTTCCTTCGATGTAACCACTGTTTTTTCTTCCAGCCAAAACGTCCAAGAGTGTTGTTTTTCCTGCACCACTAATACCCATTAGAGCTGTTAGAACTCCAGGCCTGAACGCTCCACTGACTCCCTTCAGAATATCCAACCGACCCCCAGATGCACCTTGAGCTTTCATTTCCTGAAAATTCCATGATTATGAATCTTCATGCCATGATGTAAATAATAAACGAAAGAACACGGTAATTTACATCACGATAATTACCTTCGGTACATCTACTGAATATTTTACGTTCTCAAATGTTAGGTAGAGAGGCGTGAATGGAAGAAGCATCCTTTGACTGTTTTGTCTGTCGACCCTGGAATCTGTGCATGGTCTCTAGTGAGCACATTAGAAAATTTCAGCCAGGAGAACTTAAGTAGCCAAATGTAACTTACTTGTAGGTGAGTTATCAGTTTTACTCCTGATGAAACTTGTGTTGGTTTCCTCTGTTACGTGACCCTTTTCAACTCTGACCATCTCAAGGTTTTTCTTCTTCTCAGTTTTTTGGTGAGGGTAAACTGTTTGCGATTTCCCATATTCTGCAAAGATCAAGTAGAAACAGTTCAGCACTGAATCAATGATTTATGCAGAATGAAAATTGTTTGGATGAAGGGAAAGTTTTACCATTAAGAGATGCTAGAAAAAATGCAGAAGCTCCATTGAAAAAGACTATGAATCCAAACAATGCAGCAACAGAAATCCAATACCAGTATGGCTTAACAAACAGCCCACGTGATTTCAGAACCAAAATCCCCAGAGACTCTGTTGATCCTTCAGGAACCTAAATTTGATCTCCACATTAGAATCCTCAACATTAAAGCAGATTGTGCTACAAAGATCTCTTCCTGTTTTGACATGACACTTACACGAGCCCAACTTTTGCTAAGAAACTCATTCGTCGAAAGTGCAGTTTGTGCATACATCAGTGGCGAGGTCCAGTAACCCCAAGACAACCACTTCTGCATATTATCTAAGTAAGAGAATTCAAGCATTGGTTATTTTGACTACAGGCAATAGCAAGTAATCTGGTCATGTCACTTTCTAGATCGAATCATACCATGTGATAAAATGAATCCGCCAAATATCAGAAGCCATAATACACCGAGGCATCCTCCTGTATTTGCAACAACGGTATCCCTGGTCACTGCTCCAAGGCATCTGAAAAGTGCATATGACATTTGTCCACTCAACGTGTAAACAAGAAATTGTTTAATCACCCTGGAAAGAGAGAATCAAGAAAGAGTAAGTTTAAGGCTCCAAGGCAATAAAGCTGAGAAATACAGGAATCTAGGATTTGGTCATGACCTTGTGAAGCTAGGATCAAATCCTATAATAAAATATGTTATGGCGACCCAGAAAGCTACTTCAATAAAAGACGTGGGAATTCCAAAGATGGATGCTGGCAGTGAGAATGCCCATGATGGGTAGAAATGGAGGTCTCTTTGCTTGTAAAATACAGGGAGTTTTTCAATTGTCATTGGAAGTTCATAAAATCCCGTGAATGTTATTGAGTTGAGTCCAAAATAGAGGGCTCCCAAGAAGACAACTCCATCATCAATACTATCATGGTGCTTTCTGGCTTGAGCAAACACCGTTGCTACAACCAAAGCAGAAATTTCAAGCTGACAAAAAGGATTTCATGTCACAGTTTGAAATTTTAGATGTAGGTTGCAAAAAAGTAAACTAATATTCAAAACTAACTTGAATCGACTTGAAAATGTGCAGAGATGCACTCCGCTTCATTAGTGTAAATTCCCTAGACAGGCACGCCTTCATTAATTCTTTCCTAGTAGCTCCATACGTAGTTCTTATTAAAGCTGCAGGGTGGCTGTTGGACTTTTGAAATGGGATAGCAAGCTCATGCTGAATAGCCCTGCCTATTCGAAATGACTTGAAACCCTCCACAAACTCGTCGGCAGATATATAGCGATATTGATCATCATGACCACTCCAGTATTGTCCCTGATCCTTTCTTGATGTAACCTAAATACAACAACAGATTTCAGATTCTCGCGTCATAAAATGTCGATAAGCTCTGTTATTTATGTTAGTGAATATACAAAATAGGTGATTCTGTTTTTATTTTCTTAAGTAAAGTAGAAGAAATGTAGTATATATATAGATTATGGAAGCCATGGGAGAAACTGGCAGACTTACTTCCTGCAAGTAATCGGCTACACCCTTCCTTTCAGGACATCTGAACCCCATGGATTCAAAAAACTCCAGAACATGTTCCCGAGGGCCTTGGTACACAATACGACCTTCTGACAGAAGAATGATATCATCAAATAGCTCAAAAGTTTCGGGTGGAGGTTGAAGAAGAGAGATCACTGCAGTCTTATTGAAAATGTGAATGGATTGACGAATTGAGTTCACGATTTGGAACGTCGTTGAACTGTCAAGACCAGTAGATATGTTGTCCATGAAAAGCGCATTGACGGGACAAACCAGCATCTCTCCTTCGGAACACATAATTTTAAAAAATTCAGTTATTTATTCAGCTGAGAGTCTACTCTAGTTCAAAGCACTAGATCCTTTATCTCTACCTGTAGTCACTCTCTTCTTTTGTCCTCCTGAAATACCCCTTATCATCTCATTTCCTATAATGGTATCAGCACAAACATCCAAACCCAATATCTGAGACACAAAAAGTTAGAAATTAAGGCAACCTTTTATTTTGTTACATCCAATAGTAGGTGTTAAATATGGGGTTTCAGGACATACCTTGAGTATATACTCCGTAACGATATCTTCCTTCTGCCCCTTCAATACTGATGCCTGCATAAGCAATATCGTAACGTGCCCGAGTAGTATTCAATTTTATTTGGATGTTATATCATTCATTCATTTTACCTTCATCAATGCATCAATATAAGGATCTGGCTTGATATTCATCTCTTTTTCCTTCCTCAGAAGCTCAATAAGCGTGTCTAAATTATTGATGAAATCAGTTTCAGAATCTAATACTAAAATTTGTGAAGAATGATATAAATTGAGAATCTTAAAGGGGGCTTCAAACCATAGCTAGTGCCAATTCCTTGACATCTTGCCGAGAACATTAAGGTTTCCCTTACTGTCATCAAAGGAAGATGGATATCATACTGACTGATATAAGCAGCGGTTCTCTGAGGAACAAATTCCTTCATTTCATGGCCATTATAAGTTACTCTCCCAGAAAACTATCATAAAACAAGAATCTACTATAAGTTGCATGACATGAATACCTCAATTCATTTATAAAATTCATGAAAGTAAGACATGTAACCTGTAGCTGTGAATCAAATTTTCCAGACAAGGCTTTTAGCAAAGTTGTCTTGCCAGAACCTGGCGGTCCGAGGAGTAAGGTCATTCTGCAGAGAATTTGAAATGCCAATGTTTTTGCTATGAACTTACAACATCTGGACAATGAGTTAATCCAAGAACGAACAGAAATTACCATACCTTCCTGGTTTGATAATTCCACTCGCATCACAAAGGATCGAGAATTTCTGCTTTCGGTTTGAACACAAATGAAGCCATTTTGCTACACTCTAAGACGATTTAAAAAGAAAGATATAAATAGTATAATCTTGAACTTTCATATCAATATTCTATCGATGTCAGTATTCAGCATTTACCTCTGCAATGTTTAGAAAATAGTTAAAGAGTGAAGGCGAAGCTCTTTCCCCCAAGTATGCTTCACCGCTGATGTTAAGATTCTGGAATCGCACTTCAATAGTCGGTAAACAAAGGGAAACTCTGACCAAATCATAAAATCCAATAATGAAGATTATATATACATACTAAACCGAATCTATTTGAAGAGTAACAAAATAACACAAAATCGAAGAAGGATTAGCGATTTTGAACCTGTCGATTCGATTCTTGAGTTTCAATAGATATTCCTCATTATCTTCAGGATTTCTCACCACTCTGTTTAACAGCTCCTTCGTCTCCTGAACATCAAGCTTCTGAAGATCGATTTCCTTCAAATCCCCTAAAATGCACAAAAAAAAAAAAAAAAAAA